TTGTAAATCTTTTTGTACTCCCATCAGCCACTCAACAGTTACGAAAAAGTCTATCACCATAAATTGCTCAATGTGCGATTTCAGTCTTTTCAAAATTCGGAGCCTTTGATGTAACAGAGCATCTATATATAAAGACTGTCACTGGAGAAACAATGGCACTGAAAATATCAGAAAAGTATAAGAAAATGTTAAGGATTCCAAAAACATACTTCTGCATTATAAGGCTAGTAAACTCAAGGAGCAAATCTGCTTAATATATATAAGAGCTAGGAAGTCTTTTCTTCACAAGCATCAAATAGACTTCAACGAAAAGTGATGTGAATCAAGGCATACACTACCTCGAACCCTAAGTATTTACCATCATCTATGCGCACGGAACACCGCAACAAAACGACTGGTGTCTATTAAATCCACTTCGTACTTGGCATTTTTTGTTACCTCGTCTGCGATCCATGTGTAGTAATGAGCTTTGGAAACCAATCCTTACCATTTTTGATAATAGTTAATAAAGTTTATATAGGAAAGAAGGGTCCTTGCCTTCTCGAAAAAGTTTTTTTTCCATTTCACGTACTTGTAGCCGCAATGCTAACGCGCAAGTTCATGCCTATATGCAACCTACTTCTATTCTCTGAATTTTTGAGGTATGCATTCCATGCCAAAAGATACCACCTATAACAAGTTATAATTACAGACACCTGAGTACCAGTTGTATCATTTGCCATCAACCCATTAAACATTAAACCCTACCGTACTATGATGAAAAACACTAGCCATACCATTGATTAGTCCTAGCATTCTTCTTTTCATATTTCCAAGAAATGATGTTTTGCTGATACGCAGAATGTTGAACCATTTATGCACAAAGCTTTCCATTAGAGCTCTTCTTCTATTAATTCACTTCTGTTTGAATTACAAAAATTAGATTATCTATCATTTATTCTTGTCACCTCCCTCGCGCTTCACGTAGTAGCGCAGACTTAGTATGCTACCGTATTCCATTATTTTCGCAGTATCTTCCATTAGCATAGGTAAGAAGAAACGACTATATGTTTCCCTAGAAGAAACTAAAGCGATTTCGGATGAAATTTTTACTATATAAAGAAGAAGGTTGAGCAGTAGCAAAAATACAAAAAACGCAGTTATATTGGTAGTTAATAAGTTAATGGTGTGTGGCACAACCCCTAGAAAGGTGTGGCACTCACAGCTTTTCTGGGGTTGTGCCACACCCCACTTACCTCCAAAGTGAATTTTAAGGAACAATTATATACAGTTCGATAACCAAAATCTAGTAGTTTTTGAATTAGTCAAAGCTAAATTCGTCTTCTTTCGTTTGAGCGATAGTTGCTGGAAACAAAACTAATGTAAGCGAAAAAATGGGGACAAACCTATGCAGAAAACTGACTGTTTTGAATGGATTAGCAAGCATAAAATATAACTCAGATTACCATCGGCAAAAAAATCAGCAATTCTTTGAAACAAAATATTTGCTTATGTATACTTGTCAAGATTTACAACGAACAAGAATACTGCTCCAGCATCAAAAATCAAAGCCAACATCCTTTATGTGTTGAAAAAGGATAGACAGCCATCATATGGTTCTTCTCTGGTCAAGCAAATGTACTGCGATTGTTCATTGAGGATCTTGAAGGACTCACTCGTTTCGGATTGAGTCGATGCAACAATGAAACAATCATCTATGTAGAGGCAGTGCGAAAGGGGCGTCACGTCAATACGGGCTCTTTTATCTTGCTCATAAACAGATAGCAAGGACCGGAGCTAGTCTTTGCCCCATCGCTAGCTGCCCAAGCATTTGAAGATACATCTATAGCATTCCTTAATAAGAGTAATGATGCGCACTTTACTGAGTCCGTAGGTTTCCATACTTCACATATGTGAATCGAGGAGCTCAGAAAGTGCTTGCAAGGTGTAATTATCAGACACATTAGTGTATAATGATTTTATATCAAAAGAGTCTATTACACAATGTTGGTTCGTATTGCGTAATTGTACAAGGAAGCGATTGGTATTCGGCAAATGGGAGGGGATCATAATGCATAAGCTCTCAACCGATCCACGAAATGTGTCAGCAGCATTGTAAAAATTGGCCAATCATCAGTTGGATTGGAGGGCCGAAGACAGAATTGCATGGTTCCTGAACGCGATTGTCAGCAAACTCTTAAATACGATCCCGCTCATTTGCCGAATACCAATCGCTTCCTTGTACAATTACGCAATACGAACTAACATTGTGTAATAGACTCTTTTGATATGAAGTCATTATACACAAATGTGTCTAATAATGACACCTTGCAAGCACTTTCTGAGCTCCTCGATTCACATATCTCAAATATGGAAACCTACGGATCAATAAAGTGCGTACCATTACTCTTATCAAGAAATGTCTTATATGTAATATCTTCATATGGTCGGGCAAGTTTTACGCGCAATTAAGAGGGCTAGCGATGGGCAAAGACTAGCTCCGGTCCTTGATCTGTTCATGGGCAAGATGAAAGAGCCCGTATTGGCGCGACGCCCCTTTTTGTACTGCCGCTACATAGACGATAATTTCATTGTTACATCAACTCAATCCTAAAGTGATAAGTGTTTTAAGATCCTCGCAATCGCAGTACGTTTGCTTGACCAGAGAAGAACCACACGATGGCTGGCTACCCTTTCTCAACACAAGTGATGTTGGCCAAAGGCGCTGTACACATTGAATGGATCGGAAAGATCGGAAAGAGAGCAGCAAAAACATCATTTTGCACGCGATTTCTGCTCATCCAACTGCCGTGAAACGCGCGGTTATCCGCAACACAGCACAGCAGTGTATGCAGCTGCGAAAGTGAGAGACTCTTTGCAAATGGCACGCGTCATCGTTTCCAACAACGGATACCCACTGCATCCCGAAATCTTCAGGCGAACACACATGAACGCAAGCAACCAAAATCGAACACGCATTCCTTTATGCTTGCCGTTCAAATCCGCTAGAGTGATTAATGCACTTAAGCGATATATAGCGATGTCTTAGTGAACGTACCACAAGACAGCATCAGAAGACAGCTGGTTCGAAATCGATTGTACGTCAAAGCTTGCTGCTCGCAAAACTGCGTTGTGTGCACGAATGGAATGTCAGGGATTGCCCACGAAGTGGTGTAAGTTATCAATTGAATGTCAAAGATGCCGGGTCAATATCGGCGGGACCGGTCGATCACTTTTAGTGCGTGTAAATTAACATCTGGCCAGCAAACGAAGACAGAGTCTCGTGAGACCAAAGAGGAAACATAGGAAGGCAAACCATAAAGGCGAAGAATTTGAAATAAGTCGTAATATACTGGCAGTCGAAGACAACATCTCAGCTTGAAAAGCGTTGAAGGCCGCATACATTTTTGCTCGAAATCCGAAAATGAATAGCAAGAATGAACAGTTGTCCATCACAAATGATCTCAGGCCATTTATATCATTTTTCGGTTTTCGAATACCTACAGCTACATAAACATGTCCAACCCAACAGGACTGTTCATTGTCACCACATCCTGTAGGCGACCAAAAGGGCTTTTGTAGCGCTTTTGTAGTGAGACTCTTGGTGAGTTATGGATCAGCAGAATGGACGCTTCTAGGATTTTGGTGGATTTAGGTAATAGACTCCTCAAGTACACTGTAGCCCAAAACCCAACTTGCCAATTCGTGCGCTAAGCCCTGAAAAATACGCTTCAAAGCTCCACCAACCCCCCCCCCCCCCTTTCCACTGAGTGGGCGGGGCTGGTGGAGTTTTGAATCGCATTTTTCAGGGCTTAACGCACGAATTGGCAAGTGAGGTTTGGGCTACAGTGTACTTTGAGAGTCTATTACCTAAATCCACCAAAATCCGAGAGGTCCATTGCTGATCCACTGCCTTTGAGTCGACATGGATGCTAGGCTCCGATCACATTAGACGGATCAAACATACGAGTTGGAGAAGACGTTTGATCGCATGAACGGTTTGATGGAAGTGATTGAATGAAGACGGCGTTTTCCGCCGAAGCGTAAGGCTCAATAAAGAGCTTCGATATAAAGCTTCTGTAGCATAGAGGAAGTTAAACAATATATTATCATCATGCCAAGGTTTAAAGAAAAGAGAACTTATAAAGTGCTTACTTGGTCGACAGTTCCGTGTTTTGGGAACAACCATGGTTAATAACATAGAGCCTTTTGTGAACTTCCAAAGTGCATCACAAATTAAATTTTTCTGCCAACGTATGAAAAACTAAGTAAGCGGAGTAATTGCTTTTATTTTTATGAAATTCTACACTGTTTTTTGGTCGTCAGTTCTACAAGTGAGTGCTTTTCAAAAAAAAATTTGTTTCAATGGTGGAACAACAGTCGTGTCCTCCTTTTTTTTCCATCTCCTTTTATCGAAGACCACCAAGCAGGCGGATGGGCAAAATATTTTTGATAGCTCAAAAAAGCCGAAATTCGGGAAAAGTTTTAACTTGCTCAGGTAGGGAGCGTTTGCTCAGACAATCAAAGGCTCTCAGCCGGCCCCACCAAAAGCGTCGTTGCCTTATCGCCGCCACTTTTCGCTTAACTGGCAGCGAGCGGGCTGCCATAAAGACTTCAGCGCGAAGCGAAAGTGGCTGCCTTGCCTTATCGCCGCCACATTCGCGTCGCGCTGAAGACTTTATGGCAAAGTTTTCAGCGAGAAGCGAAAAGTGGCGGCCATAAGGCAACGACGCTTTTGGTGGGGCCGACTGAGAGCCTTTGATTGTCTGAGTGGTAGACAAAGACTGTTTGGAAATGGTTTAAGTACGGCCACCGTTTCTGCCCGCTTGACTCTTTCGAGGCTGCAAAAAGTTACTAAAAGAGGAGCAACGGCAGAGTGCAGCCATGAAACAATGGCGAATGCTCGATAAACGCACTCAGTCCACTTCGTAGTATACTTAGCTGTGTTCACTTACACTATATAGGTTACTCTGGTCGTGCTCAATCTATCTGTGCGTCACGAGTATTCGCACTTTAACTAAATGCTTTCTGTGCTACTGATTGCAACATTTGTCGGCAATAGTCTGGCCGCAATGAGTGATCTCAACTGCACATACACGACGAATGGAGTAGCGAAGGTCTGTTTATGTTTTGCTTTATAAAGTACCTAAATTAATTTATACAAAATCACAATCCTTTATTATTCTCATGATGTATTTCCGAGTTAACGGTAAACGAAAAAAAAGAGCAAAAATTGATAACTGTCAGTCATTTTTTGCCTTAAACTCTCACTTGCTTATAAAACCAGGCTTACTTTGGGTGATTACTTTAAGTGAATTTCTGCGAAGATGACACAGGAATGCTCATGCATAATTGCGTCACATTCTTTAGAATTGATGAATTATGCTAGTGACCTGAAACAAAACAAAAAGTTTTTAATTATGTTGATAACTATCGACTGCTAACCTAGCTCAACCTAGTTGACACTAGGTTTCGACAGGAACTTCCACTTCGGATTTTCTCGTAGGTTATTTGACCCAATTACTTCTCAAAAAAGACATTCTTTTGGAAATTTCAGCCAAAACGGCGCTCAAAAGATCTGCAAAATCGCAGCTGAGCTCTCTTCCACGCTGCAGAGGTTTCGATGTTTAAACGAGACCAATCGTTGGGCCAGTCTTTGGCGTACGAGTTCTGTAAAAAATTCCTTCAGCAAATATAAAAGAAAGAGGCAGCGAACTAGGCGGCGTCATAATACCGATGACATCTGATTTTGAAGCAACACTTTACATACTTGTCAGAGGTCATCATGCTAAATTGCATCAAAAAAAGTTCGAAAATTCGTCGACAATCAATGCTTGATTTTAATGCTGAACTGTTTTCTTGCTATTTTGGATGGAGATTTTTTTGAATATGAGTAAAAGACTGCTTTGCAGAATCAAGGTATTTTCGTGAAGTTAATAACACTACACCTGTAACATGATGACTGTGAAAAAGTTACCTAAATTGAACAAAATTCACTGCCTCTATCATGCCAAAGCTTATCTCTCAGTTTTCAGATTACGACAACTTCCAATAACTACCATCCTGCGACTTTGCGAATTCTTCCTTTTTTTAGAGAAGCTTTTACAAATCAAGCATCTGTTCTCGCGCATTATCACCAAAGTACAACGGTATTCACTTGGGGTCATATCATGACAGCTTATTCATGCTTAGTAAGTTCCCACCTCAAGTAACAGCTGACAGCTCTAACCTTACCCTTGACACAGAAGGAATATTTCCAGTCTACACAAAAACTTCTACAACTCATTAAATGATCCCGACGATCAGCCATGTTTGGACCTCAGCATAATCTGTTCCCACGATAGTAAAAGAAAGCCTCACTGTGTGTTTTGTTTTGTAAATTCGTCCAACCCTTATGTCAGCTGCGTTACCATAGCGAATTTCTTGCCAAAATTCAAAACAAAATAGCAGATAAAAGAAAGTTCCAAAAATTTCCAAAAATCTGTACTAATTTCTAAACAGGCTGATATTGTGAAGCAAAACTTGCGAGCGCTTCACTTTAAAATCGGTATTTAGTAAAACCTTTTCAGTATTCAGCGAAAGCATTCAATTGTGCTAATAAGTTCGACGACAAGTACTGCGAAGAGCTTTTTGGCGGAAAAGTGGAGCTAGATGGAGTGGAAGAGAGGAAGGACAGATGTTTCAAGGTGATGTATATGGCGATTTTTGCTATTTCAAACTGGGATACACTCGTTCTGTAGTACGGAATGAGTTGTGTTCTCAGCAATCAGTAATTCGGAATAAATTTTGCTAAAGATTATCTAAAGTATCTGAAGCGGGCTTTCAGATACCTTGGAATATTTTTAAGAGAATTAGTGTTCTTTGAAAATCAGCTTTGGACGTGAAGTAATTATGAGACAATCACGCATATTACAGCTCGCTCATGTATTGTAAACTGACTATGTAGACTGGATTCAGGATGGATATAAAGCCAATAGTGAAGATGTAAAACAATTCGCCATAAGCACGTGTCCGCGAACATGCGGCTACTGTTGTGTCACACCCGCATTCAACTGTCCAAACAAGAGGTGTGAGTGAGGCCTTTTTTTTTCTTTTATGGTATGATTGTAGATGAGGAATTGATGAGCAATGGCAAAGCTGCAGCTTTGAAGTTTAATTATGAGGCAGCCTTCGTAAACGTTTTCTTCCAATTTTCTTTCTCTTTTCCCAATCCATCTTATTATTTTGATCCATCTCTTGCATCAAAATTTTTGGAAATCATGGCCTACTTCGATTTCAACAAATTTTATATGTAACTTGGCTTATGATTGATTTCGGTTGCTTTTGTGGCTGCTAAAAATGCTGCAGACCGATTTTCTTCCAGTGTTTGGTATCTATGGAACAACTTCACTAAAAATGTTATTTGAGTAGAGTTTATTTTTTCATAAAAAAGCGAAGAGATGTGAGCAGATGTGAGAAAACCTCGTCTTTGATCAAATAATTTTGAAATAACAGATTACATTACTTAGTTTATTCACTGAGTAGAGAAAATAGTGTGTCCAACTAATAAACAGCTTATCTCAACATTTATCGCATCAAAAAAATGAAGCTTAACCACAAAATTGAGCTTTTGGAAATTTAGACCGCATAACCATCCTTTACTGAGTAGAAAATTCCAACTGGATATGTTGTATTGAAAGCATTTAACTATTCTTCTAGAAATGCATGGATAGAAACAACAAGAAACGTTTTCAATTTTTTCGAAGTTTTCAGGCCAATCTGAAATTTTAGAAAAAGCGCACCATGTACTCCATTTTAGTGTTCGAAGCGATACACTGTTATTATAGTCTTAGCAGAAATGGAGAGAAATATTTTCAAACCGTTTTTTTTTTGCGAAATTGAGAGAAATATTTTTAAAGCGTTTTTTTTGCAAGTTTCGGCTGCCAAAAATGCTTATAAATCCGATGTGATCTATATTTTTGCTCTATTGACCATCCTTTCCCACCATAAAGTAGATGTGCCGACTGGATGCTTCTAAAAATACAAAGTGTTTTATATGTTTTTAGCGTCTGCAATGGACACAGTAAACAAAATAGTCCATCCGCGTAGGCCGCGGAGGGTGCGTGAGGTGTGCACTGCGCGTCACTCCGCTTCCCCCATGCACTCTCGCCCCCTAATTTCTCTACGCATCTTCCAGTCATGAACTGCCTTCGATGGACAACAGCGTTGTTCTCCGAGCCCGGGGACAGCCTATATCATATCGCAGCTAGGTCGTATATTCAGTTCTCTACGCTTACCTGCTGTGACCTAAATTGGGTTGTCTAATAATTTTGCTATGGTTTCACTTTTCTTGCTATAAGTCATATTTCTTCTTCATCCCTGAACAGGTTCTGTGGTACCATAGAACAAAGTAAGCTTTTGGGGATATATGTAGCGTTCAATTTGCTCATCTGTTTCACACAATGTTTGAAGCCAAAGTTGCAAAGTTTTGAATGCCTAAAAAGTTAAAAAAAATCCCATTTTTAAACGACTTCGTGCTCAATTGTCAATGAATTTTGGCATTGTGATTCAAATTGTAATACAATTTTAAAGCTGTCGACCAAGGTTGGTAGCAAGACTCTATTGCACGATAAGACAACGTTTCGACGTTCACCCGCCTTCTTAGATTTTCCTCAGCCTTGCCAGATTGGGATATAAAGACCAAACAACCGCACTGCGCTGCAGTCAAGCTCACTCATAGCGCAGTCGCAGCGCAGTCTGGCTGTTTGGTCTCTGTATCTCGATCTGGCAAGGCTGATGAAGAAGATGGGCGGACAGTCGAAACGTTGGCTTATCGTGTAATAAAGTCTTGCTACCAACATTGGTCGACTACAGAAACTGTGTTACAACTTCAATCCTATTTCTGTTCAAGTGAGCGATTCCTACGTACTTGCTAAGTGCTTAGGCATATCTCTCCACAACCGACATTTTTACGGATATGTACCTTGCAGGTTAAACTGGCCTTATATGCACATATTTTCAGTCCCTCGCATCAACTGCGATCTAGTCACGGAGATGATGTGTACAAATACGATCTGGAAGCCGATACTCATTGATGATTGCCCCAATGTTTGTGGATTCTGCGAACTCGGTAATTACAACGATTATATTTTTGTGCAACCTTAAATCTCCGACTATTGGTTAAACATATTATCAGCTATAACCCTCTTCAGTTCTGTAAAGCTTTCGCTAAGGGTTTCTTGAGACTACGCTGCGACGGCGCACTCTGGGGGGGGGGGGGGGCGTACGTTACTGCAACCGCATGGGCTTGGCTCCTACACTCAGCATAACACGGAGCGTCGCATACGGACCAAGCCTCTATGCGACTGCAGTGGTTTGGCTGCGTTCATACTGTTCCCGGATTTTGAAATCAGTCTGAACGCAGCCTTTGCTCCGTTGCAGTAGCGTGGTTCGAAGGGAAAAGACTAACTCAAACTGCTTCGAGACCAAGCGCATTGGCGACTGTCGGCAGTTTGTTCCAAAAGGTATTTTGATGTATTTGTGTAGGCAATTGTTTTTTGATAGTTCTTTTTTTGAATGACTTTCTAGTCCAACTTCGTTTTTATTGGTTGCAGTTTGCCGATGTATTCGATTCTGGTATCACGCGTACAATGTGCCGTAAGGCTGAGGCCATTTCCAGAACAATTGCAGAAAAAAGCTCTTGAGTACATGACCAGAGACTGGAGCCTAAAATTTCCTTTTAGGAAAGAATTTTTGGGCACGTCCTCGACCTAGATATTAGTGGATTCGAAGTTTGTGCCGTTTTTGACCAGTCTGCAAACCTCATAAACATAGGCTACTACTTACATATTAGGTTAAAAACTAGGTTTTGCAACTACATCCACAACTTTACTCACTTTGAATATGGGGCAAAATCTGGTGCCCTTGCTAAGTTGAAGGAGTCACTCTGCGCAAGGCTGCAACAGTCAGCTAACATCGGACTGGTCAGAAGTCGAAGTGGCCAATCCAAACACGCTGCAAAGCACTAGATGCAGCACGAAGCGCTGACTCTTTTGTCTTCCTTTTCTGCTTATCGCTTTTCTGGACGAAGTTATAAGCCATTACAGGCCACTTTTCTGCTAAGAAATTATACGTGAAAGTGAAACTTTGGCCCTACAAAGCCACGCTCGGCTCAGTGGTGGGCCAAAATATCACTAGGTTGCTTTAAACCCTTAAAGCCTAAAGCTGAGCTGAATGTGCAACAATGTGCTCAAATTCATATTTTTTATGAACGATTATTTCGCAATAAAACTGCTTGTATAGGCCGTCCGCGCTGGTCGCGGAGAGTGCGCAAGGTGTGTACTGCGCGCCACTCCTCTTTCCTCGTGCACTCTCGCCGACTGTTTTTCTCTGCATCTCTACCAGTCATGAAGTACCTTCAGTGGACGCAACCGCGTTGCTCTCCGAGCACAGCGCGGACAGCCTATAGCTTCGACCACAGAAGTGATAAGCAGATATGGAAAGCAGATTCGAGATCAGCGTTTCATTTATTTATTCAATTATTTTGTATGCCAAGAGGCGTGCTTTAATACAACGAAACCAGTTCAGAGCAGGGTGTAAAACGACAAACCAATAGAAAAAAGGAAAAGAATAACAACGAAGGAACAATCATACTTCAATGAATAGTCATCCTTATCTTGTCCAACCTATTTTGAATTCCCTAAAGGAAAGAGAAACATAAAACAACATTGACAACCTCATTCCCCCTTTCCCGTCAGCCCGATCAGGCATCCCAGGTCGTGGGGGCAGAGCGGAGGCACGGCGACCGGCTATACTGGCCGCCCCCGCCAGGCAAGCCAAAGCGGATGTACTGGCAGGGGGCTGCCAATACAACCGCTCACCGAAACCCCGCTCCTCCTCACGAACCCGCCATGACCGACCGGAGTGCAAATATAATCGTATCCGTTTTGAGGAAAGCAGGTAAATCTTACGTGTATATAAGAAACAGTATGGGCGACAAAATCCCTCCTTGTGGAACGCCTGACAGGCATGTCCTAGGAAGAAAAGTCATGAGAGAAAGCGCACTACTGATCAAGTAATGTGCCTTCTATGCCTATACACCGCAATCTCTCCAGTAGGCGCTCATGACAAACGGTATCAAAGGCTTTGCCAAGATTGAAGTAAACTACGTCTACCCCTTTCTCTTCTCCTAATGCCTTATTCCAACGGAAAAAACAGTCTATCAACTGTGAATAGGTGGAAGATCCACCTATCCCACAGACATCCTGGTGGAAATCCATGCTGTTCTAGATGAGATTTAGGTGATCTATTCATTAAGCAAATGTTTCTTGATGATCCTCTCAAGCACCTTTAATGATGTAGGGAGGATACTGATCGGGCGGTAGTTGCTAACAATTGCAGATTTCTTTCCTTTTGGGATAGGCGTCACGGCTGCAGCTTTCCATGGATTAGGGCTTTCTCCTGTCATTAGAGAAATCTTAAAAATGTGGCTTAGGGGAACAAAAAGGTGGGTGGGACATTCTGTAAAACGTCTGCGGTATGCCGTCAGAGGTAACAGACTGCGACGTTTTCAGAGCTTTAATTTGTTTTGCAACCATCTCGGGAGTGATAATTGGCAAACGGAAGCTTTTATTCGTTACTTTTGTTGGGTTGCTATGGCATTCCATGTGGGAAGAGAAAGTGCTGTGAAAAAAAAAGTTAGCGATGGCCTTCGCTTTTTCAAAATCGGCACTGCAGAAGGATTCATCCTCATTTATGAGACTGGCTGAGAGGATGACCGTTTTGTTCTGCCCTTGATATAAGAAATGATCCCCTTTATGTGTTTAGTCTTAGAGAGCAATCTGGTTTTGTAGGACATGAACTTCTTCAAATGATGTGCAAGGTCTTGGCTAACCGTTTCGAAAGTTACGCTGTGTAGTGGATCCTGGGACTGCCAAATATTCTCTGTCTCTGGTCGAAAAGATCTCGAATGTGGTCGAGACATTCTACTACGCCCTGCCTACGAGTTTTACGTGGCACATATTGATCGATGATTGCACGTAAGACACAAAGGAAACGGGTGTAGTCATCATTTACATCCAAGAAACCATCGAAAATTTCGAAATAGTCAAGGGAGGATAAGAGAAATTTGATCTGATTTACTTTGGTATGCTTGAAGTCCAAGTAAGAAGTCTCAGGCTGCTCTCCATTTGCAATCAACGTAGAAAATCCAACAATGTTATGGTCAGAATTACCTAGCGGTGGATGTAACGAAAAGTCTGTGAGAGACTCTGTATTGTCAGCACAACATCTAATGTACGATCTCCCCGAGTAGGAAATCGAACATGTTGTATCATATTCAATGACGTAGAAAAAAAATTTCTTGAACTAGAATTCATAGCAGTAACATTGGACCAGTGAATATCCAAATTTGAGTCTCCTGCAGAACCACTATTGATTTGCAAGAGGATACCAGATCAGAGATCAAGGACATAAGCAAGTCATCCTGTCCCGCAGTGCTCGAAGGCGTTCGATAGGCCAGGATGATTGTTCAAACAGGAACTTTGACATATGCAATTAAAATGCTGTATCGAATGGTATAAAGCTTGTTTGATCTGGCCACTTCGACTTCTGATCCTTCCCTTGTAAGGAGTCGGAACCTCTCACCGAGACCTCGCATAAGGCATATTCATTTACTGATTCTCTTCCCGTTCAAGGCAGGACCCCATACCGTAAACCTACAGTCTTAAAAAAACTCCTGCCATGCAACTTTAAAGTCGTTTTCGTGATCAACATATCGGAATAACCCCTCTAGGCCAAGTTTTAGACAAATCTATGATAACTTATAATTTCTGCCCTTATACCATATAATTACCGTCACCCTTCTTGTAGCCTACGTCGTACTATATAAGAACAAGATTTGAGTACGTCATATCGAAGAAAAAAGATATTGAAGAAACTGCAAAACTTAGTTCTCAATCTAATATCAATTCAGGGTGTTAGAGAGTAACATTGAGTTTACTATTGTTTGTTTTGTTAATGCCTTGTGAGCACTGTAGACTTGCAGATGTTGTTTTGAACTATGCGCGGGAAACTAGCGGTTTGTAAGGCGCTACATCATAGATGATTTATCCGTCTCGTCTTAGCTATCCGATCTTACTTATCCAATCTATCTACCATTTTCAAGTGTCCCGGACCACCACAAGTACCGATAGACGTACAAATAGAAGTAAGGGCTACGACAAAAGGCGCGGGACTTTTTGCTTTCAAAAACTGTGATTCTCCTGATGCTCGCTCAAATAATTTAGGTGTTTGTGAACCTATTATTTTTACCTTGTCTTTTTGCTTCATACTCCTTAAAGAAGCTTCGATAACCACTTATTAGAGCAAAACTTTCGCATTATTGCTTCTTTTTCGAGTTCCTCCAACTGACCTTCTGAAAGTTTTCATTGCAATCTTTCCAAAGCGCGTCTTAAAAAAAGGTGATTCATAATCTTATATTCGAAAATGTTGGTGTTTGTTGTTTTTTGTAAAAATTGTTTGAAAACAGTTTAATTAATTTATTGTCAAGAATCTGCAAACTGGACAGAACTTAATCCTCATTTTTCGAATGGTTGCGAACGATAAATTAATCTTCCTTTGCGAGGCAATTCCTAGAATCGTATTTTCTCGTGAACTTTGATACAAAGACAGATTAATGATACAAGTTACACTTCGCTCATCGTATGGTCTTTTCTCTGCGATAAAACGCAATAACATCAATAACGTTCAAGCGTATGTGTAGTTTCGAATCCTAAAGCGATTGGCGCCATATGCTATGGAATCGTTTTTTTAGTCGAATATTAATGCAGATTTTTCAGGTTCGTGCGTTGACAAGGTACCATACTGTGCTATAAACAGAGCAATTTGTAGGCACCCGGATTTGGTGCAGTTTGCCAAGGTTAGTTTTTTATTGCTTTTCAATCCAAAACATTGCTCTTGCCAAAGTTGGTACAATGTGTAAGCTTCAACCACTTTTTTGCAAATCCCATTTTGAATTCAAGTATGGTACATGATAGTCGCGATAAGGCTCATCTGGCTCGGAAAAATTTCTTGAAAGCGATGCTATATGTATTGGAACGAACTTGTATGCAAAAAGAATGGAAAAGACAGAGATCAGGGCTTGTGTGAAAGTTTGCGATGGAAGTGAAAAGAGTTTGAGATAAGTATGAAAAGGAAGAAGCAAGCATCGCGCGAGGAGAACAACGATAGAGAGTTTGAAGCACACGTTTGATAATCTGAGTATGAAAAAAAAGCAGAGATGATGGTCGAATACTTCTTGACCTTCATTGAAAGTTACGTAGGTGAAAGAAACAGCCAAAGAAAAGAAGGGAACAAGTTATCATCCAAAGAGCTGAGCACGCTTTCGACGTCTTCCAAGTGGTAAGATGTCGTTTCGGAACCGCCGGATTGAAACATGCAAAAATAAAGAAAAAGTGAACATATTTCCCCAAATTCATCTCAACCATTGAAGGATTGGAATGTGGTGATTACAAAAGAAGAACTTGAAGGAGAAGGATTAGGTGACTTCAGCGCAAAACTTGGAGCCCATTACTTAATGCATCTTATATATAAAGCTGAATGTCTGTTTGTCTGTCTGTCTGTATGTCTGTATGTCTGTCTGTCTGTCTGTACGTATGTTCCGAATAGAAAATTCCATTTCTGAACCGATCGGGACCAAACTTGGCACACATACACTTCGGGCCCCGGCGGGTGTCATAGGCTACTTTTCGTTATCGATCGATATCGATTTTATCGATTTTTTGCAAAATTTGAGCTAGGGGGCTGGAATTTGGCAGAGGGGTGTAATCGAGCATGCTGATCATCCCCACGGGGGTGATCAGCATGCTCGATTACCCCCCTGTGCCAACTCCCAGCCCCGTAGCTCAAATTTTGCAAAAAATCGATAAAATCGATATCGATCGATAACGAAAAGTAGCCTATGACACCCGCCGGGGCCCGAAGTGTATGTGTGCCAAGTTCGGTCCGGATCGGTTAAGAAATGGAATTTTCTATTCGGAACATACAGCGGAGCCGGGTAAGCCAGCTAGTCCTTTATATTTTTGCCCCCACCTGTCATTTTCGGGTACAATGATGTTCTATTAGGCTGTAAAGAAAGTACCCAATCATTCTCAAAACTGCCAAAAATGAGCGCGGGTGCAAAAGGGTAGTTGGGGGGTGTGTTCTTAGTGTGCGATTGCCTCAGCTACTATATACGCTATTCAGCATGAAAAAATGACGATAGAACCAGAGAAATGCCCAAAAAGGAGGAAAAGCCGTTGCGTTTGAGTCTGCAAAAAATCATGTTATTTGAATTATGGACGCGCAGAAATTGCAGAAGCTTGATTGAAAAATCCCCTTAGTATTGTTTAGACAAAGCGACATCCGACTATAAATTGCTCTTGTACTTCGGCCTTTTTCCAAGCGAGAATTACCCTGTTTTGAGGTGTATAAGCCGCACTTTTTTCACTCTAAAGGCAAACACGCCAAAAGAGTGACTGTCATCATGGAGCGCGTTAAGTGAGAGCAGTATGCGATAAGGCGACCGCTTCGCGAGACATATGTGCGGCGGCACGCCTGAGTCTGTTCGCGTTTAGAGCAAAAAGGGTGTGGCTTATACACCTAAAAATAGGGTAGCTCATTGATTTCGGGGTTCAGAAAATCAAACTCTCTAGCTGTTTCGAAACGCAGACAGCGTGCTTCTTGAAAAAGAGCATACATGACAATTTCAATTAGTCTAAGCTTGTCAGTACACGACCAAAATATCGTTGATTGACAGCCATTCACGTTAAAGATATGAAGAAAACAATTTAGCTCAACCTTTAATGGCAGAACTTTTTTTTTACAACCTAATAAATCCTTCTGGTTTGTTCGATTGCGAGTAAAGAATTTGCACATTAATTCTTGCCAATGTGACCCGATTTCATTTCAAACTAGCTGGCATACCGGGCTCCGCCTTCCCTGTCAAGAAACTATATCGAAGGTCACCATCCCTATTTTTGTACAATTCCCTATGTCCACTTCTACGTGTCAAATCACTATCCCCTTTTTTTCCTAATAAGCATGCCCACTTACCCCTTCCCCCTCTCCTCTATGCCGATTCCCGGCCCCGTAGCTCAGACTTTGTCAAAAGTCGATAAAATTGATATAAGTAATGAATAACTCCAAAAACCAATATTGTATTCGTAATGCATGCTCGACTCCCTGTCCGACTCCCGCCTCGTAGCTCAAACTTTACAAAAATCGATAAAATCGGTACCAATCGATAAAAAAAGTGCCTTCAACAACCGCCCCGCCCCAAAGTGTGTGCAAGGAAGTTTGGTCCGGATCGGCTCAGGCATAAAAATTTCTATTTGGAGCATAAACATACGTCCACAAAGACACACAGACCCACAGACAGACAAACAAACATTCAGCTATATAAGGTACATGGTCATCTTAGCTGTGCCTGTGCAAGCGTTGGTAGCATGTCGATAACAACGACATACGCTGCGTTGTGTTTTGAGTAAAAAATCAATACATAGCGAGAAATCAATATCTACGTGTGCGATCAATCGCACCTGTATTTTATTGTATTTCTACGTCTTCTTTTGTTGAAACATTTATGTAACTCACGACTGGTCATTAAAACATTGTTGCTCTTAGGGAATGAATCAGATTCTGAGTTACGCTCTTTTGTTGGTGAATCGGGCTTGAGATGTATTAGTAAAATATTAAGTGTGCTGATCAAAATCCTGTGGTGCTGATACTGACCTAACGTTTTGTTATCGGTGTCATCATCAAAATTCTCCGCCAGCTAGTGACATGCACGCACACTTGATAATATAATTTTTACTTTAAAAACCAGCAATTCTAAGAGTTTTAATGAGGATAAAATAAAACGAGCCAACGGAGAGATAACTGATATCGCAAAACATCCCTCAACTCATCCAGATGAGCTCACTTTATTTCAAGAGTTGTCACGGTCGCGGCTTCTGCTTTCTAAGGCTCCGGACAGACTTCACGCGATTCGATCGTCGCGACTCAATCGCCAACATTTCCATTCATTTTCATTTCACATTCAAAAATTTCGGGCTGGAAAAGTATCACAACCGAAATGCAAGTTGATCGGCGGGAATGTAACAGTTGTTTCGTCGCGATTCAGTCGCGACGATCAAATTGAAGTCTGTCCGGGGTCTAACGCTTAGAAATTATTACCAAGCATAAATTGCGAATGAACTATCCTACTATAATTACGCGCTAAGGCCGTCTGTTTTTGTGTGAGTGTGAAAATTTGTCTGTCACGAAATTCATAGAGGAAGCTGCAGCTAAGCTATCGGGCTGCATTTTTGCATAACATACCGTGCCAGCGCAGGCCTACCATGCGCAAGGACGAGCGATAAGCGGGTCCCTCAAAATTTGCGCGTCAAACGGGTCCACTCGCCTTTTGGCACGCAAAACTAGGTCGCTAATTCGACTTTTTGCAAAGTTTTAAGGAATTGTGAAGAGATATGGAGAAGGTAAAAGGATTGTTCTGTATCCTGAAAAGTATGCCCTGCCAAATGGTTACTTCTACTTCCTAAAGGGCATACAATTTCAAAAGACTAACGAATCTTGGCCATAGCAAAAACCATGGATAGTATAATATTTTTTGGCAGTTTTCTGAATCTCGTTTTTTAATTCAAAGATGAAACAACCATTTAAATTTGAGATGTTACTCTCATTCGATAAAAGCGAAATTATTTTCGGAAGGACCTAATATCATCAGCAACGCAAGGAGGTCAATAAATAAATAATAGGACCTTTAATATCCTTTGTCACTAACTTACAACTGTTTTAGGAGTATTGCAGAAGAACCTGTGGCTACTGCGACGAGATCCGTGGTGAGCGATATTCTACAGCTACAATTAAACATTTATATGTTGAAGGGATTGTAGCTCTAGCAATGAACTTGAGGTGCACTGCGTGCCGCGGCGGATGCACGGATGTGTTTAAAATTCTAGCTAAAATCATGTTTTTTTTTCCTTTCCGAATCTTGGGATGAAGCAACTCTGCATGTGCCGCGACAGTGTAAATAAAAATGTTATTAACACATCATTCGAGAGAGCAAAGTAAGCTCTACAAGTCTCGAACGTTTAGACCACTCCACATAAAGTCTGAAGTCAAAGTGTGAAAGTTTTGAAATATTCATAGATCTGATATTCTTTAAAATTTTTACAGACCTCCAGCGCGTTTACGCATACACTCTCCGCATCACACACTCATATGTACCCTTTGTTTCAACCAGACTGGCTGCTGGAAAGCGGGCTTCATGACCTAAGAGGCGACTGCTCGCGTCCGCGACACAGTCTCGCATCCTTCGCGAACATGCTCTTTAGTCATTTCCAGTCGAGTACGGCTCCGCCTTTCCCAAGGTCGCCCTGGAAAAGTGATCAGAGAGCATGTTCGCGAAAGAGGTGAAGGGTTTAGCCGCGGGCGCGAGAGAGCGGTAATGCTAGTGCACCCGACATCGGTAGTTAAGCCCTATAGTATATGAAGGAAACGGATAAGAAAAAATAATGGGTATAAAGGTCCCACCGTCATTCGGAAGGTAGATGCTGATCAGCTAAGCGGCAGGGAGTAAGGCACGACGTTCCTCGGCCCAGGCAAGCACTCGGTTCTAGGAAAATGTGACGAAGCGAGTCGGCGTGGTCCAGCACGAACAAATTTTGACGGATCGGGATCGGGTGAGCGCAACATCCATGCGCTTTTGGTCGTCTGAGAAGTCACCAGAAGCGGGAACGTTGTTACCACGGCAAAACTATGATCAGACAAGTGCACAAAGATTCCGATGTTGAGGGGTTATGCTCTTGTATCCTACTCTATACTCCCTTCAAAGCAGCATTCAAAAACTTACCTTGTGAATTTGTTAGGCAATGAAAGCATAAAGGTAGTGTCCAAGCAAATATTGCACATGGGTTTTGCCTGAAAACTTATCTTATACGGGGGTCCTAACTAAGGCACTGCCCGAGCTACAGCGCAGTTTCCAAACCCTCCGCCGCTTGCGCCTTGAATGCAGCGTGATGATGCGGTGATGCGTACAGGGATTAACAGTGTTGCAATGGCAGACCCTCCAACCAATCTGCCAGTAAAGTCTGAAGCGAAAAGCTCTTCTGGGATGCCCAAAATTCGCTTCGGAAGTTTTCCGGATCCCGCTCACTTCTAACACGTAAATTGGGGCGAACGCGGACACGAAAAGCTTCGAAAAAAGCCCATTTTTGCCATTTTCAAGCGCTGAAAAGCTCAGGTATGCCTTCAGCATAGCAAGAAGGCTCCGAGGACGTGGAAAACCGGAAAGCGAAATTTTGCCGGGACACTGCCTTCAAAGGCAGTGTCCGGGTAAAAACTCCATTTCTCATGAATTCGCTTACCTGGGATTATCCGTCAGAGCTGATCCAAAAATCCACGTTAGAGAGCGCAAAAGCGGAGAGAATATGTGTTTTTCGAGGCCTCATATACAATTGCTTGGATGGTTCCCGCAATGCAGCCGCAGAGCGGCATGCAAACTCTATCGCAGAACAGGAGTTCAAACAGAAGGAGGAACTCCGCCGCCACTGCGTAAACGCTTCGCAACTTTGCGACCGTATCTCGGGCTTCTGGTCAAACGTTTTACATCCAGTTGCGCGATGGCATGTCCGAGAGGGTCTACTTCCGTATGGCACTGAGATGCCAAAACCTCCTCCTTGTTCGGACACTGCTTTTGATTCACCGACTATGTTGTGGTCGTGAGGTCGGGAGTAAGTAGGTCTTGCATTCCAAAGCAAAATTCATTCACATTGGGTGGAGGAACGGTGGAGTTTCCTGCTCTTGCGATGAATGGTTTAAGAAAACAACTCCAACGAAAGGCGCTTTCACACTGAGTGTATCAGGTGCAGGGATCCCGAAAAAGGGATTTCCGTAATTTTGCAAAATTCTTGCGGAGTTTGGATTACGGATTACAGAACGCATTTTACCAGAAACATGTATGACTCAAAATGCTACTTTCAGCATCCGATTGTGGCAGCAATGCGCAGTGAGTACTTGAAGCATTCTGAATCTTGCTGACAAATCATAGTGCTCTTACAGCTGTCCAAACTGGGTAAGGAATGGATTCTGCACTAATAGATTCTTCACGACAGAACAAAAAAGGAAGTATTGTGGCAGAGAGTGTGGCTTATGCTAAACTCATCATAGGAAGGAATATTTTTACGAAATATGAATAATTTGAGCTAGAGTGCTATAAGCAATGTTGCTGTTCTTTGACGCATGTCGATTACGTAAGAGATGATCCCTTGCTCTCTTATTTAGCCTGGAATAAATGACTGAAGTTCAAAACAGTTCTTCCATGTCATCAGCAGCACGCAAGTGTACAAGCTGAGATGTGTGTATTTTAGCACTAACCGTAATCTGTGACTCTATCCTCGCAAGCGCAACAAATCGGTAGTCACTGGTGTTAAATTCACAATTGTGAAAGGGAATGAGGCAAGTGAAGAAGCTTGCTTACCGCTAATCTTGTGTTACATATAGGGAATCGTAATGTCGTAGTTTGCAGAGTTGTGCTAAAATGTTTCTTATCGCCGCACCTAGACCTCTAATGCCAGTGGGCGCGTGACTTTGAGATATAGTTAGATACTGCAAGTTTGCCAAATCTAGAACTTTTTCAAGAAACTGAATAAAGTAAACGCCAGCCCCACATTGGAATTTTGTGGACTGGAATCAGGTTCTTATAGACGGGAAAGGAACCGCTCATGTTGGAAAAATCAGATGAATTCAACTTTTGCTTCTTTGCACATCTCACACCCTAATAACTTATCGAAATGAAATTACAAGAAGAATTCTTCAATGCTGCTGTGCCTGACAGGTTTGTTAGGTGTTCTTTATTCCAATCAAAGCCTAACGTTTCGACGCCTTTCGTCTTCCTCAGAGGCCTGAAAATGGCTCAAAGCGTCACCAGTGAAAAGAGTCCATCAAGCACCATCCCCATTCCTGCTAGTTCTCGATCTTCGCTCAATATCCCTACCGCAAGAATTGTCAGCGCCAGAAAATGAACATACCGTTTAGAACACCGCTACGTCAGTTTCCGCACCGGAAGTGATGGTCTTGGCGGATGGACTGAACTAAACCATAAATGCACATAGAATGTGATCTATAGATTGCATAACGATATGAATGGGAGGAAGTCATTGGTGACTGACAAGCACTCATTCTTATTGTTCATTGCTGGATTCTTTGCAGAAATCCAGAATGCTTCCAGCGCCTTCCTAGCCGAGGTTTCCTTCTCATGGGTTAAGATTTCGCATTTTATATCGAAATCGTTCCCACCATGCGCTTCGTTTCTATGCCTGCCCAACGGTGACAACAAAGTTTTACGCCTTTTGTCTGCCAGATGTTCGTTTATGCGAGTACTAAGCGACCTACCAGTTTCGCCAATATAGAGAGCATTGCAGCTAAGGCATTTCAATTGATATACCACTCCCACTTGTGCACAGTCACCTATTTTACCGTACGGACAGACTACGCATCTTTCTGTTACACAGTATCGATCGTAAAGTCTGTTTCGAATCAACTGCTTTTTGATATTGTCGTTTGGGATGTTAATATAATACGACAATATCAAAAAGCAGTTGATTCGAAACAGACTTTACGATCGATACTGTGTAACAGAAAGATGCGTAGTCTGTCCGTACGGTAAAATAGGTGACTGTGCACAAGTGGGAGTGGTATATCAATTGAAATGCCTTAGCTGCAATGCTCTCTATATTGGCGAAACTGGTAGGTCGCTTAGTACTCGCATAAACGAACATCTGGCAGACAAAAGGCGTAAAACTTTGTTGTCACCGTTGGGCAGGCATAGAAACGAAGCGCATGGTGGGAACGATTTCGATATAAAATGCGAAATCTTAACCCATGAGAAGGAAACCTCGGCTAGGAAGGCGCTGGAAGCATTCTGGATTTCTGCAAAGAATCCAGCAATGAACAATAAGAATGAGTGCTTGTCAGTCACCAATGACTTCCTCCCATTCATATCGTTATGCAATCTATAGATCACATTCTATGTGCATTTATGGTTTAGTTCAGTCCATCCGCCAAGACCATCACTTCCGGTGCGGAAACTGACGTAGCGGTGTTCTAAACGGTATGTTCATTTTCTGGCGCTGACAATTCTTGCGGTAGGGATATTGAGCGAAGATCGAGAACTAGCAGGAATGGGGATGGTGCTTGATGGACTCTTTTCACTGGTGACGCTTTGAGCCATTTTCAGGCCTCTGAGGAAGACGAAAGGCGTCGAAACGTTAGGCCTTGATTGGAATAAAGAACACCTAACAAACCTGTCAGGCACAGCAGCATTGAAGAATATAAACGATGCCGAGATTTAAGGAAAGTGGAACTTTTAAATTACAAGAAGAATATTTGTCAAAACTCGAATGGGCTTCAAATAGACAAAATGTTTTACTGTGATGAGTTTATCAAGTTTTTACGGTGCTTGAGGCTTCAAATTGGCTCAAACGCGACGGGAAAAATTATATGAATAAGTAAGCATTTCCGAACTTTTTAAATAATATATTATATGAATATGTGGGCATTATTGAGGTATAACAATTATCTGCGAAAGAATATGCACAATCCTGTGTGCGATAACGAAACAACAATGTCAACCGCATTACAGAGTAAGAACAATATCTTGTCTGCTCTGCGTTGAAATACTAGGCCCAATTATGGAAAGCTGTCAGGTTGTAAAGAAGAGTAATATTTTTCGTGTAAGACAGCAAGGCGAGCATCAGATATGAGGGGCACTATTCTATAAAGCAAAAGCGCTCGACAGAACAACCTTGGGACATTTGCATACTTACCATACCAATGAATGAGTAGCATACATCGTGGTCTACATTGCAGTGTAGACATTGTAACAGGTTCTCCCATAGTTCCGTCCGTTTTAATTTCAATCCTAATAAGTCATGAATTTTGTGATTCTAGTCAGGTTTCGCGGTACCGTTCGATAGAGGTTTTGCTTTCGCACCAGTTCAAATTCATCTCGAGTTTGGAGACAAAAATCAAAAAGAGGCAACCGCCCGAAAAATAAAGAAAAAATTGTAACTCCATTCAAAAAAATCCAAGAAAATTTCTGAGTTGCTCAAAGATACACTATCCACGTCAGAAATGTTGCCGTCTTTTCTTTGGACAGAAATCAAAAAACGGAAATTTTTACGTTTTTGCCAAATGATGCTGTGCTTCCCCACATTGATAGTTGTATACTACAGACAAGTACAAGTACAGACATGAATTTTCAGCGCTCTACAAGCTCTAGTTTTCGAGACATATTGAATTTAGTGTCGCTCAGTCGGGTGTCCCGTATTAAAACGAATATTTCTCGAGAACTAAAGCCTGTAGAGGGCTGAAACTTTATGTCTGCATTTGTACCCTATTTTCAGGTGTATAAGCCGCGGGGTGGTCCTAGCTTACATCGACCAGCCCGAACACATCAAAGGACCACGCAATCAAAGGACCCTACACCATGCTCGTATTGCCTGAAAGAATCGTGCGGCATAAGGATCGCTTCTCGAAACGCAATGAAGCGGCTGACAGCTCGTTGGGAAAATTTGAAAAATGCGGCTTATACACCTGAAAATAGGGTACTTGTTGTGTACAACTACCAATCTGTAAATAGCACAGCATCACTTAGACAAAAACATGAAAACTTTCGTTTTCTTGATCTTTATCCAAAGAGAAAATACGGCAACAATATATATAAATTTCTGATGTGCATAGTGTATCTTTGAGTAACTCACGAATTTTCTAGGACTTTTTTTTGGACGGAGTCACGATTTCTTCTTTATTTTTCCTGCGGTTGGGCCTTTTTGATTTTTGGCTTCAAACTCGAAATGGATTTGAACTGTTGCAAAAGCAAGAATGCCATCTTGTAGAGCTTGCTTTGCTCTATCGGATGGTATTATGATACATGTCTACAATCAAGAACTTCACGACTTATTGCGATTGTAAGTTAAAAAGGAAGGAACTTATGGGCCAACCTGATAATACACGGTGTCCCAAAAAATGTGTCCACTGTTCAATTGTTGATAACTCTCTTGTGATGGAGTCTTTCGAAAAGCTTTGGGTATGATTTGTAGAGCTGGCTTAAACTTAGATTTACAGTATAAAGCGAATCACCATTTGCTATTTATTACTGTAGGATTACGGTAAGAACTTGAAGAGGGTCTTAAGAGATGAAAGGCCATATTTTGGCTCAGAAAGCAAACAAAACAACCTGCAAACTTTCACACTGGGCTAAATTAAAGCTGTTGACTCTAAATGTGAAGTTTGCAACTTATCATAATGCTTCATTATAAAGTTACGCGACATAAGCAGTACCGGCCGTTTTTCAATGTTCCCATAAAGTGACACCGTTAAAAGCCTCGCAATCTTGTACATGTTGAGTATTGTGTTCAGCGTCCATGAAAACCCTATTACACCATTTTTCACATTTTTTGAAACATTTTTGGAAGGGCAGCTTTTTTCACACTGTCATCATATGCTTGAAGTTTCTGCTGTAATCTTACAGTAACAAAGGATGTTCAGTGATTCTCTCTATACTGTAAATCTAAGTTGAACCCAGCTCTACAAAAGGTGCCTAAAGCTTCTCGAAAGGCTCCATTACAAGAGATTTATCAACAATCAAACAGTAGACACATTTTTTGGGAAACCCTGTATAAATACATAAATTTACTTTCTAAGTCTTTTCCGAAACTATAATTCAGAAGAAATGAGGACCAAGATGGGCTGAAAATGTGGAATGGTGACCTTTCTTTTTTTGTGCTGAAATTGTCGTTTTTTATCAGTAGAGCACAAAGGTTTGTTTTCATCATCGCCTCACAGTGGTTCATTGTATACAACCATGTATGCGACGAAAGCACAGCCTTACCTTTGCCAGTTACGGGGCAACTAAATAGCTTGGGTCCCCCCAGCCCGAAACTTTGCATGGGTTGTGAAATATGCGAATTTCCCAAGCTTGTGTAGAGCTTGTTTTGCTAGACAAAAGATTGGCAGTGACTGTTTGAAATAATTTCGGAGGGGGGGGGGGGGGATAAGTTATCGAAAACTTACAAACCTAAAATTCTTGCAGATCATAATAAGTCGCTTGCGTAATAAAGCTCATGCAATTCTCCAATCACGACCTACTTGCTGCCCCCCCCCCTTCCTCCCCCCG